ACGTACAAAACAATATGCTACCTAGTGCAAAGTTCTTTTATAAAATGCTGTATGATTCTGACCGAAGTCCTTGTACCTGAACCCATGTTGTATATATGGGATAATGATCATGCAACAAGAGAAACAAATTTACTTGTTGCAAATATTATATTGCTAACAAATTTTATTTCACTTGCCACAAGATGGGTTTATAAATTTCAGATATAAAACAAAAGCATGCCTACTGTATCTTCCAATTTATTTTCCTTAATTAACTAAATACAAATATGACACAGAATATTGCAAACAAAAAAAAGTGATCTAAGCAAATCCATCTGATATGCTCTCCTTATGTCCTGCATCCTTATAAACATCGATACAAAATGTTCACCTAGTCACCATTGATTTTCAGTCTGTCATCTTACAGAACTCAAAATGTTAAAATAGTAGTAAAAAACATCCTAAAGCATAATCACAAAGAGTCTGGAATCATTAATTACCTCTCTAGCAAAAGACAACACTGGCAAATTTTTTTTATAAAAATCATACTACTGAGATCTAGTTTGTCTTCCTGCAGCTTGTTTTGTGTCTTGGAATAATAAAGAAATTAAGATGAAAATGTAACAATAGTAGTAATAATTGTAACAAACTACTGTTTAAACATGATATTAGTGACTGCATCTGAAGTTGCAATAAGGTTATACAGAAACATTACACTTATGTCAAAATTCATGGCTAACTCAACTGTTCTCCCTGAAAAGACCGGAATTAAAATCTCATCAGTACACAATATCTTGTGCTTGACTGCAATGGTACAATGCCAAAACTGCAAGCATCACAAATATACACTCAATATTGAAGAGATTTTACCATGCTCTACCCCTCTCTAAGTTCTGAGCTGTCATCTGTAGCACTGGACAAAACTTTTCTATAACAAATCATACTAGTGACATCTAGTCTGTCTTCCTGCAGCTTTTTTTATGTATCTTGGAATGATTATAATAAATTTTAGAAGAAACTATCAAAAATTGAATTCGTGTTTACTTACGTGAAAACTTAACAGCACAGTGGCCAATTACAAAGTTAGAACGAGTACACAGAAATACACAAAAATAATTAAAGAGCAAAATACAAAATATGACAGTCTATATAATAGCAGTAAATTAATAACAATTCCAAGACAAACTGAAGTTAGCTTCAACTTCAGTTTGTCTTGGAATTGTTATTAACTGTTAACTGTTAATTGTTAACTGAAGTTAGCTTCAACTTCAGTTTGTCTTGGAATTGTTATTAATTTACTGCTATTATATAGACTGTCATATTTTGTATTTTGCTCTTTAATTATTTTTGTGTATTTCTGTGTACTCGTTCTAACTTTGTAATTGGCCACTGTGCTGTTAAGTTTTCACGTAAGTAAACACGAATTCAATTTTTGATAGTTTCTTCTAAAATTTATTATAATCATTCCAAGATACATAAAAAAAGCTGCAGGAAGACAGACTAGATGTCACTAGTATGATTTGTTATAGAAAAGTTTTGTCCAGTGCTACAGATGACAGCTCAGAACTTAGAGAGGGGTAGAGCATGGTAAAATCTCTTCAATATTGAGTGTATATTTGTGATGCTTGCAGTTTTGGCATTGTACCATTGCAGTCAAGCACAAGATATTGTGTACTGATGAGATTTTAATTCCGGTCTTTTCAGGGAGAACAGTTGAGTTAGCCATGAATTTTGACATAAGTGTAATGTTTCTGTATAACCTTATTGCAACTTCAGATGCAGTCACTAATATCATGTTTAAACAGTAGTTTGTTACAATTATTACTACTATTGTTACATTTTCATCTTAATTTCTTTATTATTCCAAGACACAAAACAAGCTGCAGGAAGACAAACTAGATCTCAGTAGTATGATTTTATAAAAAAAATTTGCCAGTGTTGTCTTTTGCTAGAGAGGTAATTAATGATTCCAGGCTTTTTGTCCAGTGCTACGGAGCAGGGCCGGCAGATATTTGGGTAAGCAGGATAACAAACAGGTTCTAGTATGGGGCAAACTTGCTCCTCTCAGATTTTATCTTGCTGTTATCCTGCGGGCCCATACCTCCACCTGGGCTCCGCAACCTGGGGGTATAGGTCTTGTGTGAACGGTGAACACCCGTGGTCTGGACAGGAGCCGAGGCGCCTGTGCCTCCCAGAAGCTCCGTGAGTCCCCCCAGGGCGCTCAGACTTGAGAGTGCGTTGAGGGCGCCAGGTTTGGACAGCAGCTGGGCGAGAGGAATAGCACTGGCCAGAGGGGAGGCGGCCGCGGAAGAGGGACCACTCGAACTTGAGCCAGGAGTTGAAGTGCCCGGACCTCCAGGGGTTGCGGGATTTTGGGCCTCAAGGTTAGCTTTCTGCAGTTCAACACTGGGGGAAAAGAGACAACAGACATAATGGTAAGGATTAAAAAACCAGGTTGTGATTTAATTAATTAAAAAAATATATGTAATACTGTGACACACCATGGGTGTATTTGTCAACCAGGAATCAGGAACAAGTTGCTTGGACATGGCAAGGTTATGCAGGAAGGTGGTGCCTTTCCACATCTTGTCCCTAGACCCCAAAGCAAACAAATGCAACCAATGTGCACCAAATGGAATAATTAAGCACACTCTTCACTTCCACAGTGCGAGGAAAGTGCAATGACCTCCGAACATCAACTAAGAATGCCACTCATTTCTCACAACTTTCAGTGCTTTTCATCATGCAACACTTGCATGCTATGGAGGCCAAAACAATTGACTGGCATTCCTAAGTTAAGCTCTGGTGCGTTTATACACGGAGTTTACGGACTGTAAAATAAAAACTGGAAAAGAGAAATATAACATACTACAGGAGAGGTGATGCACTCTCAGTAAAAGAAAGAAAACTCTGGCTTAAAACTTTCATTTCAATGAGGTCTCGCTATGTTGCAGTAAATTTCGACAAGCGCAGAATTCTGCATTTACTAGCTTGCAATAACTTGATCCTTGGAGCTTCAGTAATAGTTCCTCAGCAACAATCACTATTCTGTACATTCTTACCAACATATAAGACTACAATTTAAGTGTAGTTTTATAACCTTCTGATTTTCACTTCAATCTCATACACATCCTCTGCCATATCTGAACCTGTATACAAAATGAGCACTTTAAGCCAAAATGGAATGTGCTGAATGTGAAATAAAAATGCCTACCAGAATCTCAGTACAGAAACAGAATGTTAAAAATGTCCCAACACACAAAAGTAAGAAAACCAAAAACTATACTTCCAGCCCCTTAAGCTGTGCCATGAATTTGGAATGCAGTGTAGATCATGCAAGTAAGTTTCTGCTATTAAATCAATCCTTCAATGGCTTTAAGAGTGTTAATAAGCAAGGTAGCAGTTTTAAACAGAAGACTAAAGTAATGTACCATGAACAATGTGGAAAGTATTAGTATAGTCCCACCACCAAGAAACAGTTACATGTGCAGTCCAGCAAATAAAAGAAATGGTTACAACTGATTGATATGCACCGCCAAGGATTCTGTGGTGCAGTGGAGAGAGTGGGGGGGACCTATGTACTGTGCACATATGGCACAACCAGTATTCTTAATTTAGGGTAAAGAAAAAACATTATTGAATCTTAAACTACCAGAATCTTAATTAAGGGCAAAGAAAAAATGTTACTGGATTTTAAACTACCAGACTCTTAATGTAGGGCAAAGAAAAAATGTTATTGAATTTTAAACAACCAGAATCTTAATTTAGGGCAAAGAAAAAATGTTACTGAATTTTAAACTACCAGACTCTTAATGTAGGGCAAAGAAAAAATGTTATTGAATTTTAAACAACCAGAATCTTAATTTAGGGCAAAGAAAAATTGTTGTTGAATTTTAAACTACCAGACTCTTAATTTGGGGAAAAGAAAAAATGTCACTGCATTTTAAACTACCAGACTCTTAATTTAGGGCAAAGAAAAAATGTCATTAAATTTTAAACTACCAGACTCTTAATTTAGGGCAAAGAAAAAATGTTATTGAATTTTAAAACTACCAGAATCTTAATTCAGGGCAAAGAAAAAATGTTACTGAATTTTAAACTAGCAGAATCTTAATTTATGGCAAAGAAAAAATGTTATTGAATTTTAAACTACCAGAATTTAAATCTAACTTTCCAGTGTTGCAATATGCTTCAAAATGAGCTTCAGTATCTCCCTCACCATTTAGAAGCCCCATGGGGCAGACATAACCCAAAGTTAGGATTTACAACATGACCCTTTGACATGGTCATGTAACAGGTGGGCTGTTCAAGCTTGGAGCTTACACAGTAACATTTTATGTTAAATTTGGAATGCTTGAACAACTCCTTAATATCCTAACTTCACAGTTACATCAAAACAAAAATAAACAACATAAAGAGGAACTGTTCCATCTGGAATCATGATGAGGGCAGGAGCACTGCAGAAAAAAGTCCTGGTCTGGAAAGTGGGGGCACTTGGGGCATAGAATGACTGCAGAGATCAGGAAGAAGTCAGTGCTTTCTAACAAAGAAGAGGAGACCTGGAAAGAATGATAGGTCACGTATCTTCTTCGTGCTGACTGATGTTGGTGCTGTCTTCACTTCCATCTTCAAATGATCTTACTGTAACCCGCCTCCTCACCCATAACATACAATTCCAATTCTTCAGCAAAGAAAAACACAGAACCTGTTTCGCTCGTTTAGCTCAGCAAGCAGAATTTGAAATCACCAAACAGATATGGTCATATTCATAATCATGCTGCATTAACATGAAAAATCTCAACACATATTACACAATGAGATGCTATTTATTTTGAATACGGACTGTACTGAATGCAGCACAGCAGTCATTTATATAAACCCACAATAGAAATTTGCATCTGTTTCAGTTCACAGAAACAGGGATATGCTGAATAAATCAGCTGTGTATATGGACATGGGTCTGTGTTCTTCCTGCTCAAACCTCTACTCTGCTAGACTACACAACACTCAAGTGCTCCTACCTCATATTGATGAGATACTGTGCCAGAGCCACTGCATCAGGATTGCCTGTGATTGTGATGGTTCTGTCGGTGGCGCCACCTTCACGTTCTTCACAATTTGAGATGCGAATCATGGCTCCACTAATTTGCCTGGAAAAGAAAAAAATCAACTTTATTTAATTCTGGTTTATTTATTCCCGCTCAGATACGGCAATGAATATGAAGATTGGTGAATAATAAAGTGAATAAAACACGGAAAGCAGCAGCCGTAACATAATTCAACGTGCTGACTTGCCCTTCCATTGCAGAGCTGGAATACTGTAACATGGGCGTGCAGAAAGACACAGCCTATCCTTTGTGAGTAAATTTCTTGAAATTTACGCAATGAAATAGAAAATAAACTTTGAATTAATTAGGTTCATGCTTTACAAATTCTAGCAAGAATTAACCTCTCTCAAGCAGGTACCATAGCAAAAGGGGCTAGCTGAATTTATCATGTTACACAGTACATGTATCCAAAACCCTTTTGCCCATAAATCCACTACATCTAAGAAGACTCCCTCAAAGGAACTAAAATGAAAATGTAATACTTCGATTCCGTGCTCAGTTTCTGCAAGAATTCCTCTAATGCAGCTGCCAGATTCATGTAATGAGTGAACCCCATTCTGGTGACATGCCATATAGTGAGGAGTTTTAGTGTATATGGATACAATTTGGCTTCCAAATACTAAGCATTCATTAACCAGTGAGGAAAAACAGCAACACAAACAATAATGAAATATTCCAGCATTACAAGGAATCTTCAATATGTTATAAGGCTTAATTTTATTTTATACTGTGTACAAATGCTGTCTGACACCTCCGCTTCTCTAGATCGTCCTCCAATTCCTGATATAGTTTCCGTTACTGTATGGCCTCTGTATACTCAGTGCCTAGAAATATTATAGAGCCTCAGCAAAATGTGAGGGGAAGAAACAGACAGAGAGCAAGAATAAAATAGAACCTGCCATACTTGTATTTGTGTTCAAACTTCTAGTCTCCAACTGTTTCCTTGAGAGACCCAAAGAGATGGAAATCACTAGCAGCGAAGTTTGAATTACAAGATTACTTCCTTATAGAGCTGCCAAATCTGCAGGTATTCAAGAATTTTGCAGCATTTTATGGAACCCGAAGGCTCATTACTGTGTTCACAAGATCCCTCCAGTGGTCCCTATCCTAAGCCAGACCAATCCAATCCAATCCATACCATCCCATCCATTTTAATATTGTACACACACCTATGCCCTGGTTTCCCCAGTGGTCTCTTTCTTTCTGGCTTTCCCACCAATATCCTATATGCATTCCTCTTCTCCCCCATTCGAATTATAAGATATGTTACAAAATATTTCCTAGCCCAATTACTCAAAAATTTTAACCATTATGGGGCACACATCTCAACACAATAAACTTCTGTGAGTTATAAGGGCAGATTATTTGAAGCATTTCAGCCTCTTCTGGCCTTCAAATAAATGTAAAATCCAAACACTATGGCGGGTGATGAGTGTTGCTGTTCATCACTACAGGCAGTTACTGATGAATATTCCAGCTGAACCCTCACCTCAACAATGGTAAGCTTTATGTTTATAATAGTGTTCCACTGTGCACCATTATCATCTTGAATAATGAAAGTGCAACAGGATGGTGAGGTCTTTCAGATATTGCATGCTCCCCACAGAAACCAACATTCACCAACTATACATACCTGATCTCTGCAATCTTTGTGCCACCCTTGCCAATGATGCAACCGATCAGTTCATTGGGAACTGTCATTTCATGTGTCTGCTGATTTGCTCCAGGCTGGTTACGGTTTTGGTTGTTCGTTCGGAGCTGACTACCAGCAAGGGCAGCGAGAGCTGTGCCAACAGATAACACTGCTCAAAGAAATATCATACTTGTTAAATTTGCAATATAAAATGATTGCAATTTATTAGGAATAATTCTCATGTTTCTTGTCACTTTCTACAAAACCCATTTAATCTCCTGCCTAGGAAAAAAAAGCCTTGTACCAAATGCATTTTAAAATCCCTTTGCTTCATAAGACAAACGAATATGAATTTTTTAAAGATCACTGAAGTCTGTGAACCAATAAATTCAACGTGTTACTATGATCATGAACGCAAATATTAAGCAGGAACAATAGTCTTCCGCACAAGAGACATCACTTGCTATCAGTAAACTACAAACAAGAGCCCAGAAATATGCAAAAGACAGGCGACTACACAGCTCAAGTGGTTAGTCGCTGGCTTCCCACCATGGTGGGTTCAATACCAGGGTCTGGTAAAGTGCGATTTGTGGTGAACAAAGTGGCGCTGGGGCAGGTTTTCTCAGAGTACTTCAGTTTCCCCTGCCAATCTTCATTCCACCAATTCCTCCACAATCACCCTCACCTATCATCTGGGGCTGGTACAATAGGCCAGAAATGGCCGCAGTACAAGGGACTTAGTCCCACCCCACTAGCAATAAAAAAAAATATGGAAAAGATGAAAATATACCAATCTGAGACATACACCAGATAAGTAAACAAGATCAGGAACAATACTGTATTTCACCCCGCACTACACAATTCTTCAATATTTAGCTTTGTTTGTAAGAACCATTTATAATTTACAGGGAATATTTAACAGCTTTCGTTCTTGCACCATAACATTTCTTTGATTGAATGCAGAATTCACCTTCTATGGAGTCCAATCAAACAATACTTTATTACGGAAAGTAATATTCGTATCTCCACTGGAGATTATCCAATAAATGTCAACAGGACACACTCTGGTGTATCTAAATATACTGTTCAAAGACGCAACAAAATGTCTTAGTACCGGAAGTCTTAATATATCCCACACATGCTATGTATCAAAGGATTATTACAGTATGTGGTGAATTGAAAAGGAAAGAAAGGGAAATGTGTGCAAGTACAATCAATTTCAGAATTTTATGCGACTACTAACATGTGCAGTGTGAATTACATAACCATGTCCAACCGTACGTATTCTTCGGTTTTTTATAAAACTAATTCCATCTGCTTCATTCACTTTCCTGTCTATTTTTATACTTCAAAAACCATACACAAAACTTGACCATAAAAATATTTATAACAAAACAGAATGCATGCAATCTGCTTCAAGAATCACAATTACCTGCAGGATTCAGGCCTCCAGTGTTGCCCGCATTGAGGCCGCCTAAGCCGAGAGCCGCCAAGCCGGCCAATGGAGAATTGCCCATCCCCATCTTCTGGAAATATTCAAATATGGCGCACCTCCATACAACTCTGCCACAAGGCAAACATTTGCACCGACACCCATCACGATATTAAGTCTTTATTTCTCATATCGTAACAACAGCCACGTGAATGCAGAGCAACACAGGACCACAATACTCATATTTATAAACAATGTCTCCAAAATATGTAACGTAAGGCAAAATAATATCTTAAAGACATCCTCATATGGATGAACCACACTGCAGTGCAGTGTTCTTTCTTGGGGACAGAAGGTAATCTTCGACCAAGTTTTAAACTGAGATAGTTGTACCAAAACTATTAGAAATTTAAATTAAATAATCATTCACTGGCTGTGCACTACTACAAGGGCAAATGAGTATAGTCCAGCTTGTTCAGTGTTGCATTCTTTTTAATACTAACTGTCATTAATTGCTGTGTTAACGTCCCGATGCAAGCTGGGAGATTTAACATCCTCTGCTCTTGGAAAATAAAGGTTAAACAGATATTCCACTGTACTATTATTTTCATTTTTATTAATTTAAAAATATCACTTGGCATTTCCCACTTCTGCTTCCACATGCATGGAGGCCATCTGCTGACTGACCCAGGGTGCGAGGCCTTTCCACTATGCGATCGAATTGTGTCAGATGTTACATTTTCTACTTGGTGAACTACAGCAATAGGCTGTAGCAGCATTTCAGACCACCAGCAGTACCCTCCTTACATATTTCTCAGAATTACTTGTATCTGAATAAAACACAGAACCCATAATCATTCTGGCATTCAGAGAGTCGAAAACACTCAATTTTAACATCACAGAGCAGTACTTTGTGTATTAGATGTTGATTATGTATGCTTCAGTGTATGTTGTTTTGTGTTTTTGTACCCGTTCAAATATGATTATGCTCCATCTGGGGGGTAAAAAACTGAACTTGGGATTAAGTTCAACACTGTGGGATGACTGAAGAGACCAGATGCAGAAACTGCTGGATCACACTGCTGCAAAAATGAAACAAGGTTTCTGTAAAGTCATAGCTTCAATAACTTTCTTGTAATTAGTGTGGTCTTTTTTTCATGATCCTGTTTCTGTGCAAAGACTGTGGAGGCTTATGAATAATGCCAAAGGATACTTATGTTTAATACTTATCGTTAATATTTTGATTTCCCATCTATTAACATGTTGATCATTCTTACTTTGCTGACAAGATACCTAATGTATGAAATATTAACTTCAGGATAGAGTTCCCATGTGGAGGTGGGGTTGAATACATCCACCATGACTCTGCAAGTCATAGGAGGTGACAAAAAGGGAAGTCTCAAATCTTAAGACAGTAAAATATGGTTGTGAGTCCCAAGGGACTCAGACCTGATGTGTTGTCAAGGGCCAGTAGCATCTTAAAAAAACAGACCTGTCCTCAGCAGAGGGTGTCCCACAAAAAACAAAACCATAATATTCAACAGTAATAAATATCTGGCCATGAGCCCCAGAAGCGGCTGGCCACGACCGACTGACTGACCGACCGACCGACACAATTTGACTTGGACTTGGAGGATACAGAGTAGAATGAAGATGATTAGCAATACAGAAAGTATCCAACTTCAAAGGTGTCAAGCGATAACCTGGTCACCACTCTGTGTTTCCCATGTCCTTTTGCCACAAGGTATTCAATTTTAACTGCATTTTTTCAATAAAAATCATGAGTTAGTCAAAATTTTATCAAGGGACATTCCCATCTCAATGTTCATCAAGAAATCATGCAGCGAAACCTCTCAAAGCAAATTTCCAGACATGATGTCCTAGGGTCCAGTCTAGAAAACCGAAATTAACGGCCGTGGGGATTCATTGATCACGCGACACCCTCTAACTGCAAAAGTTGGCACTGAACTTCGATGACAAGCGGCAGTCACTCGGTCAGTATGGTTCAGTTGCGGACTACAATCACGGGAGTTTTTTTTTTGTTTTATGTCCTAGGATAAAAATATTCATGTCAAACACAAAGGTAAGCATGAAAAATATGATTACATTGTTGAAAACTGTGGCTTTACAAAACCACAGTTGTGCATACTTTGCAGCTGCATGGTCCAGTTAATTTCTGTTAAGTTGTACCTTCTATTCAGTCACAAAGGCAAACTTGATCCTGAACTGACAATTTTTTAGACAACACTTCATTTTACCTGAATGGACACATGAATACAAAGGCAACATATACTAGAGCACAGGAAATCCATATCTTATACACAAAAGTTTACTCCATGATGTGGAATATGGCATCTGTTGCAATGTAAATGCAAAGAGAACTGTGGGCCACGTGATATATGCAGATACAATTTATTCTGAGAGATTGTAAAGTAGATAATGCAAATGGGTCAGTAACCATCACTGTAGGATGTTGCTGTAGTCTCACAAACACTACAGCTGAAAGAGTGAAGGCAGCAACCCACACAGTTCACACACATAGCACAAAAGCATGCCTCAGTAGTCACCAAACGGGCTCCCTGTAGTTCTATCACACTTCCACAGATACTATCAGATAATGTAACCAATGCTTAGGAGTATGTCTGCAGATATTCTGGAGGGCAACATATAGTCTTCAAGATGCACAACCAACATTATTATTAATGTTTGGATGTTCTACACGTGATTTTCAAATTCTACAGTAATTTTTTATTGCTAGTGGGGTGGGACTAAGTCCCTTGTACTGCGGCCACTTCTGGCCTCTTGTACCAGACCAAGATGATAGGTGAGGGTGATTGTGGAGCAATTGGTGGAATGAATATTGGCAGGAGAAACCAAAGTACTCAGAGAAAACCTGCCCCAGCGCCACTTTGTCCACCAAAAATCCCATCTGACCAGACCTGGGATCGAACCTAGGCTGCCGCAGTGGGAAGCCAGCGACTAAATGCTTGAACTATGGCGCAGCCCAAATTCTACAGTAGATTTAAGAAACTGTGAAATGTTTTGGGGAATCAATTTAAATACTGAACACATCCTGTCTTCCAGAAGTGCAGTGTGTATATAAAGTAATTAAATTAATGGGAACTGAATTTTAAGTACCTGAATTTCAACAATCCCACATATACTGGAATGTTCAAGAAGGAAAACAGATAATGAACTTATCATATCTGGGCTGAATAGGATATCAGGGAAGTGACCAAACAGATCTTAAAAAATCTGGATGAATATCAGTGATACTATTTCACTGAGACTGCATTGTAATTGCAAATATGACTGCAAATTCTATCTACAATCTTAGAGCAACAGTCTTCACTGCTCACAAACAAGCAAGATAACTGGAGCACAAGTGGCAAAGATCAAGGTTCAGTGCTGTATGGAAACTAGTAATAGAACAATTTTGTAACATGAACATCTAACAAGTTGTCTCCAGGTGGTGTAATAGGCCAACATTGCACTGCTTTCCTGAATTCACACCCTTCTCTTTAAAGAAAATGCATCAGATTTCTGAGTAGCTAACACAAAACTACATACAGAAATTTTAACAGTATTCAGACAGAAAAGTACAAGAACTCCACAACATCACTTACATAATCTGAAAGTCTTAAAGTAATGACAGTTGGAAACTGTTACAAAACAAAGAAATGCCAACAAAAAAAAACCCTGCGGATGAACTCTGCTTCTTTCCACGTCTTCTTACACGTTATGTCGGTGCAGAATGTTTCACTTTAACTTCAATAACCTGGATATCTATCCACTGGCTTCTGGCAGTAAGGAGAGGTTCTCGGCGGATAAGAGCCAAGGCTAGGGCTAGAAAAGTTCCACACTACATCATAATATTAAAATAACACAAGCATGTAAATGTCCACACTTTTACAAATAAAACATATGTGGGTTGTAATGGTGTTAAACAGAAGAAAAACTTGTTAAGTTTGTGTTGGGCAGATTTCTAACAATTCCCTCTTCATATTCTCCAAACCTCACCAATAACTTCTTTTTCAAATATATAACAATTTCTTATGAAGGCTGGTACACAACATGGACAATTCTCAAGATGTCATTTCTGTTTTAGTATGAAATACAAATTTTAACCTTCTTTATGAAGGTTATGGTACAGAAAAACACAGTGTCTCAATATGCAGCAAGGATAATCACACTTGGGACTGCAGCAACTGTTTGCATGTTCCCAGACCAGTGTTTTCAACACAACTGCAGCCTTCAATGTTATGCCATGATGAGAGAGAGAGAGGTGTTGTTACAGTTTTATAATAATCTTGGAAAGATGAAAGCCTTTACTGTTTTGAACTAGCCTCTTGCCAGGGGTGCAACATGTGTGTGCCCTGCACTACCATTCTACATACAGCTGGTGCTCATTATATAATGGTTCATTCACTAACAAATTTGTGTATCAGTACTAACTATACACATTTCTGTGTTCTAGCAACCTTAAACACATTAAACACTCAATACAGTTGGTTTGGTTATACTGCATGCTGATCAAATGAGTGGTTACTTTCTGCATGTTGGGACATACTTGAGGAGCCCCACGAATGTTCAGGTACAGATCAGCACATTTTAAAAAGCAACAGATAAAATTGTACAGGGTTAAAATCAACAATTTTCAGAATATCTTGTTTCTTTAAACGAGGTGTATAATGTTGGCACATCTAAACATTACTCTTTCATTTGTTACAAAGTGAAAATGCTGGGTTCTAACTACTGCAAAACCTCATCAATCCAAACACAGAGAAAAATATTTTACACACAATACACTGATGCTTGGATTTAAGGTTGTGAAAGTCTCAGATCTGAACTTCAGCAATTCATGATGGTTGTCTACTCCACACCATGAGGTGCAAAGTTTCACTACAAACATCCTAGCAAATTATGCAGGGAACTAAACAAAACTGAAATTCCATTCTCATAATAATCATGAACAGAGCTCTTGATACACAGAAATGTTTCAGAAATTTATGCCATATCTTCAGGGGCTATTCCTGAGGTCATTACGAGAGAGAAATATTATATCAACATGGATATTATAGACCTATGGTTAGGGAAGTTAAGATATCTTCACATAACACAAATATTGTTAACAGAAAAACTCTTAATGGTTGTACATTATTTTACATACCCTGAACATCACTGTAGTAACAAATGCTCAGAATGTCCACCTTCAGTCCACGTGCTACAGTACCTGAATGAGCACTTTCTTCGTCCCTGAACTGGCCACTGTAATCACTGGACCTCAACTCACTTGATTTCCATGCGTGGAGGCAAATATATTTTCTTGTTCGTGAACACAAGGTGGACACACGTGCATAACTGTTAAGTGTCATTTCCTATTACAATAAATGTGCTTTTCATATTTAAAAAAAAAAAAGTAAAGCTATCCCTGTACCAGGCTGTGAAGGCCCATAGGGTTGTGAGATGGTGAGTTTCCCACATTTTGTAGACAATGGGCTCAAGGATGGCAGTAAGGTTGTGACCCTTACACGCCAGCCGCGCTTTACTCCCCAGGAAAATTATGTAATTAATTCCTGGTACTCATTTCTGCTGGAGGCTGAGTCGACCCCAGGGCCATAGTGTGGCTGGAAGGATTAGGTCAATTGAAAAAATCCAATGTCATCATCAGGACTTGAACCCGCGACCTTCCAGCTTGCAGCATAGTGCCTGAACCACTACGCTACCGCATGCCCCCTGCTTTTCACATATAAAACGTCTTAACTTTCCCTTCCCAAAGCTGTGTAACTGTTGACACTTAATCTATGACGACATTACATTTATCACTCAGAATGACCTGAATCCATTACATGAAGTCATGGAACATCCTGTTTAACAGATTCTGTATAATAATTTCTTTTATACAAGAGCTCAGGAAAACACAATGCTCAACATTACCTATAAAGCACAAAAATGACTACAGAAATAAATGTCAATGTCCAGTACACTCATATAACTGTTGTATTGCAGCCATTAAACCATCATATCCATATTGGTTTAGAATGGTTTCACTAAGTGTAACATGGTCAGGCAAACACTTCCGCTCAAGTAACAACTTCAATTAATCTCCTTTGCTACAATACACGTGCACACCTTACCCACAACCATTCATCTGTGTCCAATATGGAATGGCTCTTCTACAGAAGGAAACGCGTGGCTGCCTATGCTTACCTGATTTGTATGTCTGCAGTTATGGAGAAGAATAAAGCAAGTCTACAAAGGGAGAGGGCAGCAGGTGTAAGGGGACACAACAAACAGAAGTGTGGACACTTACATGAGCAAAAACTAGAAAACTAGAATCAGTCATATCCTGGCCTGCACAGACTGTCATTCGGGCAACCCCGTTGGGTGACCCCTCCCCTCTGAGGTCAGTGCAATCACCTTACCAAACAGGTATACAAATTTTACCCCACTTAATTTCTTGTGCCACTTTACAAAGAAGAGATAGTGTGCAATAAAGATCATGGAAAAAAAAAGCCATGCACAATGTATGTTATTGTTTCCCCATGTATAAATTTTTCAGTCACAGGAATACAGAGGTGGACCTGCATGGAGTGGGTCAGTTGAGTGCCAGAAGAGGAGCTCCAACCAAGCAGCAGAATTTGTAACTAGAAAAATGTTCATTGCAAGAAAAAAGATCCGTAAGCTTCCTTATGCTGATGACACCACAGTAAGCTAACTTAAAACACATCTGTCTCACATTATGATACCAAACTAGGGGTGTTTTAGTGAGACAACGTATCTCTGGATGCCACACCAACAGAACACATCCATTTACAACTATATTTCCTTCTAAATATTAAAATCCACACATAAACCAGATCCTATTGCATGTTAGTCTGGCATCCTTTCAAACTTTACAAACACAAGGGCAGAAAGAAAGACAAAAGTATGGAAAAAGAAAAAGGTGCTAACTCCCAACTATAATTCTTTGGCATGGCCTTTTCATTCATGCTACCATGTCAAGAAAATTCACAAGCATTCTCACTATTTTATCAAAACAAGAAAATGTCACTGAGGAATAGACACAATATTTGTCACCACAAGAAGTGCAATATATATAAATATGTACAATACCTACAAGTAAATTCCATGTATTTAGGGGGATATAGTCCATACAACAGTAGAATCAACATATATTCTTTATCTTAAGAAAATAAGAAACTATATCTTTGCTTGGTGAGAAGTCAAAACACTACACAACTAGTAACCACTAACACTGAAACATGCCCTCTAATTCAATGAGATTTTATAATTACTGTACACTACGAAATGTTTGCTTTCTCAAATCCACAGCCATGAAATGATTCTTTAGAACACTACTATTTAACACAAAGAGTTCAGGATCAACTATGGATATAGATGGGAGTTGGCACCTCAACTAATAAGTTAATAAGCTCCAGGTCCCAGGGCAACACAAGACTAGCAAGCAGATGTTAGTTGCACCACACCCTGGAAGCTGCAGCAACATAAAACTGAAGGAAAAACTTGGCATGCCAGATCAGTGCAGTCTGCAGACACCTCAATATTAATACTGTATCATGTATCATATTCTGTACAAGTTTTTCCTTCATTTCGCATTCCCACAAAGGTGTCTGGGTGGGTGGGGGATTATAACAAAATAGATGTGTACATGTGTATGTGGGGGGAGGGGGGTTAGCTGCACCCAAAGACTTACGTCGGCAGCCGCCAGATGCGCGGGCGGTAATGCAGCTTGCAAGTGTCCGTTCTTCAGCAGCGGATCTGCCGCCAGCCCCGCGGTATGGAGGAGTGGGGAGGGGGGCAGGCCCAACGGGGTGTGTCCGGCGGCAACCGGAGCCAAGCCCGGGAACAAGGGCATTGTACTTACGTCGGCATGGGCAGGCACGGCATAGTTACCCTGGATAGTGTAAGCTTGTCCGCCGGCTAGGATCACTGGCCCAGCTACTTGGGGTTTGGGACGATAGGGAATCGTGGCACCTTTAGGAGGGGACTGCAACAAAAGAGAAAACACAATGCCAGCTGCATTTCTAAAATATGTACATTAAATTGTATCAACTACATGCAAAACATTCTGGAACATATCATATCTCCACCCTACATATAACTGGAATCCTTCTGAAACATGTAACTGAATTATCATCATCATTACAAAGACTGCAAATAAATAAATAGTGGAAAACTAATAAGAAGCAGTGATTGGTTACTCTGAACATGTTCATAAATTGTATTAAACAGCAATTCTAGTAACTGAAAAACAGAGGAATAATACATACTGTCCCAAAAGAATGTATACACACTTTGACAGTAAGACACTGACTTAGACCTTCGAAGTCTTCTTTTCTGAGCACAGTACTGGGCCAAAAGAAACTACATTTACAAGCATGCAATGATTCTCAGAGCCTGTAAATAGGTGGAGAAGTTGATAAGAATTCTCATTATTCTGTTGTAAACTGACACTTTCTAAAAGCACTGCCATCTATGCTATGTACTCTTATCTATGTTGTTACTTATGTCAGCCTTGTGTACTGCAGCATTTTAGTGTGACAAGATGTAAGTGACACTAAGGCACTAAAGGGTTAACAGGTAAAACATAACTGTAAAGAATAATGATACAACACAAAATTGTTGTAAAAACTAACCCTTTTATGCTGATAATTCTCAACACTGTTCACATCACCATCCAGAGAATGGTAGCAAGGATCTGGGGCATCACATGTAAAGCATTCTGTTCAAAGAGCTTACCTTCTCCAGATGCATACTGTACTTAAAACAATGTTGGATTCTTATAACAAAATCTGTTTCCAATAACCAGTAAATAGGTGGTAAATTCTGATGATTTGAATCCATTCCAAAAACGTCCACAGTTAATATGCAATGTGGATAACAGAAAATGGAGAACTTCAAGTCTACTGTAGTAGCATGAAGCTCAACTCTCTTCATAAAGGAAAGAACACAATTCCTCTTGAAGACATTACAGCAGTAATAAAAGGTAAAAGTAAAATTATCCCTAGGCTTAACTGATTAAGAATCGCACCATGAAGATGTGGGAAAGTGGAGGTATAGCTCCATCATTCCTGACCTTGGCACCAGATGGAGGTGTGTAGTTATATCAGATACAGATTTTTTAATGTTGAAAGAGGTCCTATAAAACTAGCTCCAGAAAATGAGGCTTCTAAATAAATTATGATAATTAATATCATTTAACTCACCAATACAGGCTACACTTATGTGTGTTATAAACAAACAGAAGTTCTCCCATCCTGACATCACAGCAACTGAAAATGTTAACTGCATAGTCCCAATGAACTACTCCATATAATTCCAATATTATGTGGGTTACTTCAAGTCATGGCAACATAATTTTTCCGAAATTTCGAAAGCCCTGACTGGAATTTCCAAATTTGAAGCTGACAGACAGCAACGCCTGATTTCTAATGGTGCCGCTAGATGATGCTGCAGTCTAGGGACAATGAAACGAGTCGAACGTGAAGTCAGTGTGATCATAACCTTCATCGAGAACGAATATTAGCCGGATGGAACAGCGTGGTTACGTGAGAATACCAGTGCTTCACATCAGAAATGCGGCTGAATGTCACTCAGAGCTTGTGGAAGCTCTGGGTGATCGTGCTCTACCATACAGAACTGTTGCAAGTTGGATAGAAGCATTCCAACGTGGAAGAGAAGCAACTGCCGACTTGCAACATAGTGGACGCCCTCTGTCCGTTCATACCGATGTTTCTCGTGCCATGATTGTCCAGTGCATGGAGGAAGGTACACTTGATACAACTGGAGACTACTTTGAAGGTTGTTAATCATAATGTAAGAATTCAGATTTAACTCACATTGAATTTATTTCTTAATCACAACTGAATTTTTCGAGGATTAAAGAATAAAAAAAGTCATTCTGTAATGTGCAATTTTTCCTGCCTACTATACCTACGCCCCTTCACATCTACCTGATCTGACTAAGTCAATCGGAGGAGTATATCATGCCCTTTCATAAGCATATTTGGAACTTTCTTCACTGTAACGTGTTTGCCCAAAAAAAAATTAGTTGCCATGACTTTTGCAGTAACTCACATACGATTACAAAAGCAAATACAGACTCTTTCAAATGCAGCAATGTAGTAATTCTTACCTCGAGCATAACGCAACAGATGTGGTAGATGCACTGGGTGATGGCCTCACTGGTGCCGGAAATGGTCACCGCACGTTCTGTTGAGTTGGGCAGCATCTCCGATGCCACCTGTATTGATGCTCCGGTGACCTCACGAATCTCCTTAATCTTCGAACCTCCCTTGCCAATGAGGGAACCACACTGTGATGCTGGCACAATGAGACGCAATGTAATTGGGGGACGTGGGATACCTGACCCGTTGGGAGCACCTTGCATCTCCTGGAACTAGTAAGAGCAACAGCAGATCACATCACCTTGTATCACCTAATTATATTATCAATTTTCTTGATGCATGACATATACACTGATAGTGACAAGAAAGAAGACATTATAGACGCAACACAACGGACTAATCATGCTCAACCTCAACTGCTTTACCAGCCTAGGTACCTACAACATGAACATTTCTGTTGATGAAAACTGCCTCTTTTTGGGGGGGGATTATTATCAGAATCACAAATTACTAATTAAAGGCATAAACCACAGTATGAACAAAACATTTTTGATCATCTCCAATTTCAAATTAACTGAACCAGAAGGCAGTTACATCCCAAGGTTTAAAGTTTATACAAAGTACATGTTACATTTCTGACAAGGTGCTCTTTAAACTGGAAATGTCCAAGGTTTTCAAAGCTACAAATTTACAAATTCCATAAGTAGCTCTGCAAACTTTCTTTCATTTCGCACCTCTCCGTTACCAGTGCAGCAAAGTACACCACTCTGGTCCTTGGTAAATGGTGCATATCTATACACGCAGAACTGCGAAAATTAAACTTCCTCTGTTTGTGCTCTCTTAATGTCAGCTCTAGGAGCAAGAGAAGTGAAACAAAAACCCCTACCTCAAGGGAAAATCCCCACTTGTAGCTTATTTTATAAGAGGCTGAAATTGTTTACTGCTTGATACTACCTTAACAGAAATACACAAACATTACTTTTAAAAATTCTATTTTCTCTTTTTATTTCAAATTTCATATTTGGTGTCAATTTCATAAACTGATATACTGCATTTAGAAGCAACATGAAATGTAATCATATTCAAGGAACTGATTAGAAGTGACAATGCAAAGAGATATGCTGGCAATTAAAAAATGTGACAGGTAGTTCAACCAGTGGCACTGTGTGCACAGAATCACGGTGACTGACCAACCAGTTGCTGGTGAATGAAGGGGGTAATAGTGAAGTAATAACAGAAAATTCAGAGTACTCAACAAACACATAATCTACAATCTTTATTATTATATCCATGGAGCTTAGCAAGCTAATAGTTGCTCAACTACTAAAGCCGAATATTTTATGGAATCCAAAGGCCTATTACTACCTCGGCAAGAACCAGCCACCGGAGCTTATCATAAGCCAGATAAATCATATCCACTCAAACTCAGCCCATTTCTTCCGGATCTTTAACATGTTCCATCCCTATGTCAAAGAGAACATCTTGTCTTTATAACACATCTGTGAAGCATTCTGCTACATGCTGATAGCAGAATAATTACATGGTTTTGTTTTGGCTCCACAGATAACTGTCAACTTTTCTCAGACTGGGACATGGGAGGTGCATAAAAGAAAAATAGTGGGCACTGGAAAGAAAACTTGATAGGAAAGAGTTAAGCCTTACCTCTTCAAATTTCTTGCAGATGAGTGTAAATGCCTTAAAAATGGCATTTGTTGGTCCTGTGACTGTGACAATGCGTTCAGGGCAAGAGCCATCAGAGATGTTGATCTTGGCCCCTGACTGCAAGCATAAATCACACAATTAAAATCAAATTTATTAAAGCCTACTGCTAAATTACCTACACCTATTCATCCAATATGCAGTGATGATTTCCTCCTATGTACAGTGGTAAGAATAAGTTGGGCCCCATGTGACGAATGTTGCACTAGGTGTGTTTAGAAATCCCCTTATATAATTAATTAAGAATCTATCAATCTATCTGGCCATTAGTGGGCTTCATGAAAGTATGTATTGATGAAGTCTGTAATTCCCAAAAAACGAACATAAGTTCAAACTGCACAATTCTGGATACTTTGCTCAATTTAGCATCTCTGAAATGCACGAGGAGCTATGAAAAGAATGATTTTCACCTGCCTGTTCCAAGAAAAATGAATTCGTGATATTAGCCATAAAATATTTTTAAGTACATTAGACAAAAACGCTAAAAGAACTAAGCTCTCTTTATTTACGAATGTTTTGGAAGGCTCCGAAACTTTTCACGTCAGTAGCTTGTTAAAACACATTAAGCATTTAAAATGAATATGCAATTGATGTTTCAGATTATTCTGAACCAAAATACTTTGTAACATGTCATACCTCAGAAAAGTCTGCAAAAAGAATCTAGCAATAATTAGTATATATATAATATAAACATAATATGAAAGCTCAGTCCTGTCGGTGTTCACATATTCGATACAATTCATATATTCAATACTGTAACAGAACAGAAAAACCTTTCTGAACACTGATAGAATGAAACAAAAATGCTGTGTGTTCACAAATGCAAACACTATATACTGAGAGAAAATACATTTTGTCAGATTATCTAACTTCGCCAAAAAGCAGTGGATGCTAGGTCGGTATAGTTTGCTTCTGGACCAAAACGACGGAGTTTGTTTTTACAGGGATTGCAAGAAAATAAAGAGACCTTTAACCAAACATGAGGATTACGCACTGAACTAGCCTACTTGCCACATGGTGAAAATCTTGACAATAGGAACATACAGGATACTTGGCAGCCCAAGTAAAAAATAATCACTCAAATTCATCTAATGCTGAGACAGACTGCCTGCCAAATTCATACCTTCATGTGGTGAAAGTAAGAGTGGGTGTTTGTGTGTATTTGTGTGCATGCATGCATCTGTAAATCCATCCCTGCCAAGTCAAAGGTACAAATTCATACATTTTAAGTTCACCGTCATATACATGCAGCAGCTTCCAAACATGAACTAGTCAATAAAGTCAGATGCGCACTACTAAAAATTTGTAGTCTGGTAATAACTAACATGCAAGACTTGAAAGCCTGTGATTCATACTCATCTTGGCATGTTAGTAGCTAACATTTGGAATCACAGCACAGTAAAAACCATTGCAGCAAGTAAAATTAAACCAAAAAGAAAAAGACGATTCAAAAAAATTCATGGCACTTAAGGACAGAAGATATCTCTAAACACGTGGACATGTTTTTAAATGACTCTTGCTAACACTATTACACTCATTATAATGTTAAGTACTGGAAATATGAACAAAATCTGACAGACTGCATATATATATATAATGCCAGTTTAAAAGATTCCAGCAAAATCACAAACTAATGCAGGTGGCCAGACACCTACCTCTCAGATAACAGAAAGTTTACATTTAAAAGTTTCAAGATGTTACTTTTTTCAAAATGTGTTTTGAATAGCAGCAGGAGATAACTAAATGCATATGCCTCTGATTCTGTTTCCTACACTTGATTTCCATGCAGAGATGAAATGTATTTGCAATTTCATTCTACACAGAAGGTGGCACTAAATGTCCACAATCAGGTGATGTGACTTATATTGTACTTCAGGAAATGCATTGTCATAGCAATGAATATGAAGCAGCCAGTACATTGTGAACTGTGCTTTCAGTCTGTCCTGCTACCTGCCTTGCATTTGTTTATGTAGACTCTGCAGACATTCTAAATGAAGCATGGTATGAGCAGATCAGCTGTGCCATCAGAGCAAGAATTTCCTAAATGTTTATGTATATGTGAAAAGATAAAGAGCTAAATGAGGAAAACATACAATGCTAAATGAGACATCTGTGAACACTGCTGACAATGAGGATCAGGCTCACACTAGGGAAAAAAAACTCCAGTAATTTTAGTCCACAAGCAAATTATACCAACCGACCACTAAGGCTGGCAGTAAAATTCGCCGACAAGTGGTGGTTGCTCGGGTCACACTAGTAATGCAGATTTCAAATAGAAACACACGTCAAATTGCTGGAAACAGGAAAAGCATTCAGCAAAGGACACAAATGCATAATAAATTTATCATTTTTAGAATCCTTTCCTTATGAAATCATTATGCTGTGTGTGTTTGCATCCCCCCTTATTAACTTTTGAATGCCTGAAGCAATCTTTATGAAACTTGGTAGGTCATGGCACCTGAGCCCATCTCAACAGCATACTTCATAAATCCCACCCGTCTGTCTGTGTGTCTGCATGTGTACCCCCCATCGTTGCTAGGCAAAGGCTTGCTGAACATGTTCCTGCAACAGCGAATACATACAACAGAAGAACTACTGAACATGGTCCATGTCATATCACAGGAAAGCAGGCAATAGTTCTTTCCAAAACTTCTGGTTAAATAATTAAATTTGGGAGATATACCAATTGAGATATAGCCTTATGCAAAATTCATAACAAAAAAAGAAAGAGACTAAGCTTTATGAAGAATTATTCATAAAATCATGGAGGGAATCGGGGCCAAACCCTAGAAACCAGTGAGTGGAAAAACGGAGGGCATCCAGGCCAGCCCCTAGAAACCAGTGAGTGAAAAAAATGGAGGGAATCAGGGCCAAACCCTAGAAACCAGTGAGAGTGGAAAAAAAAATTATGTCGTGCTAGGGGTGTTTAAATACTAACAGGGACACTGGCCCATTCTGAGAACTTCAAGGACTACCAAACCGAACTGAATTTATAAATCACGTCTTTTTATTCTGCAGATATCGCAGGACTTTCCTGAGAAATCTGATCAAAACTGGGTACTTTGCTGTACATCACAGCAAGGCTTTTTTATTTTGGCAAAAAATAAATAATTTTTCACTCTCTGCTGAACAGTGAATCTCCTTTTGCCTGCCACCTTGGTACTGGCCCTATACTTCCTCTTGCTTAGCCAACACGTCATTCGCATTCCCCTTTGGGAAGCCATTCATTTGCCTGCAGTATTCAGACTATGACTGCGACAACTTGCCATCTCAAGACTAAATAAATGGGGATCATTTTGTGCACCACTATGCAGATAAAGAAAATGAGATTTCTGCGCTAAGCTGATCCAAATTATGAAACAAGACAGGAGATGTCTTCACAACTATAATACATTTTCTGTCAATAGTGATATCACATTATGAAAAGTCTATAAAACTTAGTATATATCTGAACTTAGAATTCATTTATCTCATAAATCACATTTCTGGGGAGGGGAAAAAAATACTGTCATTACATCAACTTTCCAGCGGTAACTTGCTGAAATACATCTCTTCTGTGTAAACAACTGAGTTTGTACACCAACCTTTTACTGGAAATGAAACAGAAATACCCTCACAAATGAAAAAATGATTTACTAATAAAATAAGTAATTGAGCTTTTCCTGATGATTACAGAGATTTCCATTTGATGGCATAATTAAGAAAAAGCATATCACTAAATTCGAATAAGCAAATAGAAATAAATCAGGAACACCTAAAAATAGAAATGAGAATTATTCAAGGTGTAATTTCCAAATTATTAACTAAATCGTTTCACTGATATTGCATATAAAAAAATCAGTTCATATGACCACAGCATCACCCCTGTCTAATTCCAGCTTAAACATTTAACCACTATTTAAGTCTACACAGCAAAGACGCATTACCCAAGACAATCTGACTGCAGTTCAAAAGAGATCTTCCTTCTATATAATTCCACTCAAAGTTTAAACTTCACATCAAATTCCCTGAATCTTATAAGCTGTCATTCATCATTTCATAATACTCCAGTCACTCACAGTAAGTCTTATCAAGATAAAGCACTCATCTATGACACGATTATCAACACAAAATCGTGTTTCCTGAATAAACCCATTTTGCATGAATGGAAACAGCATATGTTCCTATATTAATAAATTTCATATCCCATATACAGACTGCATTATTTTCAAGAATTCCATTCAAGATGACCAATTCATATAACACTTAAATAAACCAATATTTAGAGATCACTTGATTGGTTGAAGCACCATCCTACAAGCCAGAAGGTCACGGGATCAAATCCCGACAAGGTCATTGGATTTTTTTTTCAATTTGCCTAATCCTTCCAGCCGCACTATGGCCCTGGGGTCAACTTGGCCTCTAACAGAAATGAGTAAAGTAAGTAAAGCTATCCCTGTAACAGGCCATGAAGGCCCATAGGGTTGAGAGACCTTGAGGGTCCCACATTATCTAGACAATCGGCTCAAATATGGCGGTAAGGTTGTCAGCCTTACGTGTCGGCCATGCTTTACTCCCCAGGAAAATTATTTATTTAATTCCTGGTACTCATTTCTGTTACAGGCTGGGTGAACCCCAGGGCCATAGTGCAGCCGGAAGGATTAGGTAAATTGAAAAAAATCCAATGACCTCATCGGTATGTGAACCCGCGACCTACCGACTTGTAGAGTATTGGGAATATTCTTGGGGGTAAAGGGCAGCCGGCGGTAGGGCTGACAACCTTACCGCCATTTATGAGCCGACTGCCTAGAAAATGTGGGAACCTCAACATCTCACGGCCCATTACAGGGATACCTTTACTTTTACTTAACCTCTATGGTAGAATTCTTGCTAACCCTCCTGAATCAAACACTGCTCCCTGCACTTTATCATACAAACATTCCGTCAGCATGGAAGAATTATATGCACCCTTGCTGAGAGAAATATGTCTTAAATATTCAAGCACTTATAAAATGATATCCCAATGATTTACTAGGCACTTCCTATCACACGCAGATGTGGTAGAAGGTAGTTTGTTCAACACAACCATTTAATACAAATTAAATTAAATCTTGTCATTCCACTCCTCTCTTTGTATGTACACACCAGACGCCTTTATATAATACTGGTGGTAGCAACAGTTTTACAACTCTCTGCTGACACACCTCTTTGAGCAACAGAAAGTCTCCCAGCAGATCACGCACAAAGCTTTCCATCATGACTTCCACAGAAACATAAAATATGAATTCTCATCTTCATTTTTTTGCTCTTAAATAAAAGGAAAGTCATAAAATGAATTATGCTATAAAAATTAATCTACTGAGCCTATGAATATCAATGCAGTTTGTGCTTTTTGAAACTTAAAATGTAACAAAAGTAACAGGTTAATTAATCACCTTGTATTACTGAGAGACTCTTCACTTAATGCTTTATAATTCTATCTGCTGAATACTGTGCAGTATTTTTAACAGGCATAAGTAAATAGGAAACAAATGCGTCTTCAGTGATCACCAGGGCCCAGATTTTGATGACATGACATCTTTTTTTTTTCTTTTTATCCTATGCGATGCTCTTAAATATTATAAATCTCGGATATGAGCTGCTGGTTACAGAAATGTAAATTTTATATGTAATTTGTTAACATCTTTAGGTTTAAGGTCATTTTTTCATTTTGGGGGTATTTTTTTGGCAAATTTTTGGATTTTTAAGGGTATTTCTTGTCATTTTTGGCCATTTTAGGGAATTTTTCTTAATGTTTTCTGAAATGTGAATAACATGGAAGCAAAGTGTTCTTTCTTTTCTCCTTTAGGTCAATTTTCTGGATTTTTTCGGTCATTCTTTAAATATTTTCAGGTCATCAAAATCCGGGCCCTGCATATTACATTTTTGGGTCATATTTTAGGTCATTTTTCTAGATTTTTTTAAATATTTTCAGGTCATCAAAATCCGGGCCCTGGTGATCACTTAATAGTGTTTAACTTTAATAACTAACATTTCTTAAACAGAGTTCTAAAAAGAAGTCGATCACTGAACATGCGTACTATTCCTATTAACTCTGAAGTTGTGTTACAGTAAACTTCTCAGAATGGCCATCTTCAGATTGCAAATGGAACTTTGGAAACTACTGATACACAGAATGCTGTAAGAAGAAAAATATTATGAATGACCAATTTCACTGTACCTCTTCACGAAATCTCTTCACAATTTCTCCCTTTTTACCGATGATACTGCCAACTTCCTGCAAAGAAACAACACATCATGAACCTTAATGTTAAACATGAGCAGAATCAAAGAATGCAAGCAATAAATCAGGAATAAGTGTAACTTCTGTCACCACTAACACTGGCCAAAACCATTTCCAGTGTCTGTCATCAAATTACAACTTCTGAGAAACTCAAGACATTACTTCTCCCAAAACTACAGGGTACCTTGCTCTAAATACAACATAGCTTTTTTTGTCTGTTCATATACAAGCCCTCCATTTCTTTTACATCAATAGACTCTACATAAATCCAAATCTCTGGAGTAAGACTGCACATAATATAAACCTTTCTTACTCATTACCACCAAGTACTAGTGTCTGGAAATTTGGAAGGGGGGAAGAAAAAATCAAGCAAGAAAACAAACATAATCTGAAAATAATGTTATATAAATTAGCTATTTCACTCAGCCCCCTTTCTGCATTATCTTTACAGCAATAAATGTTCAGTAATAGCATGTAAACAAATCTTGCAAACATTCCTAAACCAGACTGAAGTGTGAGCTGTGCCTTTCATGGCCAGTCAAAACAATGAGGAACTTGAAGACCTACATCATTTCATTCTCTTGAAATTTTACAAGCACAGAATGAAAACCAGCAGTAGTAGGTTAAATGTCCATTGCAGAGAAAAAAACTAGGACTTATTTGGAGGCATCTAGAGTTGAAGTATTGAGAACATGAACAAAATCAAAAACTTGAAATCTATTATTAGATTATGCAATTAAGAACCACAGAATGTATCAGTTCTACCATCTAACAAGGCATGCTGAAATATTCTACAGAGGAACCTAGTACAAGTTTATCAATACAGGATGCCCACATGAAAGGTATCCAAAATAAAATTATTATATCTCTATCAATACAGGATGCCCACATGAAAGGTATCCAAAATAAAATTATTATATCTCAGAAAGAATTTATTATACACATTAATGGGTTACACCATTACCAAGGGAAACTATCAAGTTTTTTCCTGCATATAGAACTTTCTCAATAAATTTAAATGTGGGCTCCCTTCGTGGCAGGACAAATATCCAGGTTTGAAGCATGTTTGGTGTTACCGTAGCCACAGCGTCCCTTATGCGGGCTTTCGGGCGTTGAACGTCACTGATCTTAATCTGGCAGACAATGTTCTTCACATAACCCCAAAAGAAAAAATCCACTGGGGTTAAATGTGGCGACCTAGGAGGCCAAGTAACGGTCCACCTCTGTCAATTCATATCCCAACCATCTCTCTGTCCAGGTGATTCCTAACATGGTGGGAAAATGTAGTGGCATATGTGCGTAAGACGGGTATTTCCAGTCATTTCCAATGACATAAACCAGATACGTGTATGACAGTTTCAGAGATATATAATTTTTTTTATTTTGGATATCTTTCATCAGGACACCCTATATATGAATACAAAAAGCTCTCCATGACCAACAATTCTTCCTATTAAGCTGTTCATGAGAGATGAACATCACACACAGTGTTCTACATGAGCTGCAATTTTAGGCACTTAGAAAGTAAAATGTAAAAAAACAATGTCCTCATCTGGAGGTCATGTCACTCTGTCTGTAGTATAAGCACCTCTAAAAGATGGCCAGACTTCTACAATTCAATATAAGAGATGCTAGGGTTATCAGAAATTCCAATTTTGGTTAAACATAGACAAAAGTGATCAAAACTGTACCTTGAGGACATATATAAATTTCTGTATGTACTCTCTGAATATTTATTAGAGTGAAAAATGTTTCAAAAAAATTGTAGAGAAAAATGAAACACATTTCATACCCAACACACATTTCAATAAGCCTTATGAATTCTTCAAATAAACAAAAACTTTCTTTCTGTATCACCACACGAGTTCTAAACCGCTGTTCTAATTTAAAAAAAAAAGTTTTTTCTAGGTCCTTGCATAGATCTGTCAAAAGAAAGTAATGTGCCCCTCTGTGTGTCTAACCTACCATCAGAACCTGAACTATTGGATAACCCTCCCCCCTGAAGTTTTATATGGAAGAGTTTCAATAGAAGTATTGGCTCATCTGAATAGACTGACACACAGTTAAGTACACTTTACACAAGATCATAAACGGCCATTTTTATGTGCATTGTAAACGACTTCAAATTTTATAGGCTGACACCAAGTATTCTCAACTTAACAGCAAAGAATGCTGCAGGAAATTTTGTATACTGCAATACAGAATATACCTTTTCCAATCTCGTGCCTGAGGATCATCTTGTTAATAAAAATTTATGAATAATTAACGTTTACAAAAATGTGCACAAGTGAATTTTTCTCTGGGAATTGTAACAGATCCCACCAACCTGACAATGAAGCCAGGTGAAATGTGAAAGATATAGACATTTGTTTCCAACAATATCCAGTTGCCTGAGACAGGCTGTTTCAGTGGTGAGAGCACATACAAAGGCAAAAGTAAGCAACCACTATCAGACTATCAGCCTGTCATACGAGAGCAATCCACAGAGTGCTGAACCTTGTCAGCCTGCCCATTGCTGTTCTTTTGTTCTCTGGGGAATGTGCTGGCAGGGAATGTACCAGATTGACCTGACCCTAGCTGAGTTATATTTAGTGCTGCTCTAGGTAGAATAAAAGTTTGCTGTTGTTTTAAATTAGACCAACTACTGCACACAGTGACAATTATCCAACGACACATACTGTAAGAGATGTAATGCCAAACTTGGTTAAAATGAACAGAATGCAACTCAAAATGCTTATTACTTACAACCAATATATCAAATGAAAGCAATATACATATCACGGATTTAAAATATAAAAATAGATTAAAAAATCGCCCCCCCTTCAGTTACCAACACAAACTTCATCTCCAGTTCTTTTATTCAGAATGGGAGGGGTAGTCTTTAAAACTGGGAACACAAAAGGCACCAAACTGTTACCATAAAATCAGGTACAATGTAATGCTGATACACTTCAAAAGAGCAAGCTATATTTTAAAGATAAAAGGAAAATTGTAACGTACAAATTATATATCAGGTAACTAAACTGACAATATATGGTATGCGAACATACGAAGGATTCTAATCTGTCTACAGCCTGTCCATCACACTACACAACATCAAACCATAACTCTTCATACACTGGTAAACTGCGACTATGTCTGGCTCCTACCCAAATGACAGTATTTATAAATACCAACACTGTGAATTTGGTCTGACAACATACAAAAACAATTAGTCAACATTCTGACAGCCACTGCCACAAACTGGATGTAGGAAGACTGACAGCCACAAAGGATACCAGTATATAGCTCAGAAGTGTTCTCTCTCACACACACACACACACACACACACACACACACATGCGCATGCCATGTATAAGTGTGCACAAAATGCCAAAAACCTTGTAGCATAAACACTGAATGTACATATATTTTAACTACATTTTAAAAATTGAACAAATATTTTAGTAAATTAAATGTGATTTAGTCTCATTTAAAATTTAAATTGTTTAATTATAATAAATGGAAAACAAAACTATAAATGATACCTCAATAAAACAGGATGCTGAAATATAGCATTACCAAAAACCTAGTAATGTGCAGTAGAACATTTAACCACCACATTTCACACACCTACACAAACTATTACAACAGATACGGATCACTTCTGACATGTCGGAGGGCCTGGTCTCTGCACACAATCCTAAGAGAAACAAAACGCTATCACCTAACCAAGATATCTAATTCCAATCCCAAACTTTAGCCCCTTTGATCACAGACATGCTGCAAGAATTGCACCCTCTGCTTTCTCAGTGCAGGCTACGTAATAATAAA